TTGACCACATCGCCTTCAAAACTTTTGTCGTCGCTTGGTTTTAATACAATGAAATTCACAATCGAAATGAAGGACTCAATCAGAACAATGATAAGTTCTACCAGATAAGGCAGCAAAAAATCACGTTTTTCCTATTAAAATAAAATCAACGTGAATTTACATAATTACAAATAATTAAAAATACGCCAAATGCCATGAAATTCAACTAACTTTATAAATTCCATAGAGAAGGCAACCCGATACGATAAAAAAGTGCACTAAAAACGTTGACGAAAAAATATATTTCAAAAAAAAAAAAAAATCAAACAAATTAAATATTATTTGGTAAAACTTACGAGACACAGACACGTCACCGGAAATTGAAACCGGAAATGAACCAATTAAACTGAGCACACCGATTACAATTCCACCAGTTTTCCAATCAATACGACAAAAATTCATCGCTTTCATGACTTTCTTGATATTAAATTTCTTCAAACCGAACAATGACCAACACAATTTAAGTAGTACAGATTACTTTGATGGTTTCGCCTCTTCAATTAGTATGTAGTATGGAAAATCAAACAACAATTGTAATGAATGGTTGAACAGACAACAGTCAAATGAACATGAACGTATCGGCCGCCCTTCTTTTTAAACCAAATTCGAAATTATTATAAAAAATGCAATAGAAAATTTACCAAATCGTTTTGCCATCGTATGAATATTGAATGCATCGCATCGATTTTAAATATTTCTGACAAATCCATCGCATAGACATTATTATCCAAACGAAATTAATTCGGTATTGACCTCGAAATTGTATGAGACTTTTTCCATATTGCGTTTGAATGAGTGAGACTATTTAAAAAATTCATCGTATCGAACGGCAATAATTACAATTGGTAGAGACTTGAATTGTAAACAAATTGCATTTTATTTGCCGTGCGATTTTTTCATTCAAAAATTGTTGAAAATGTAATCAAGTTGAGAATATTGATGTTTTAAAAGCATTTATTTAGTCAACTCTATAAATATCAACCAGATAGAAAAAGAAGAATATGATTTAATTATAAGAAAATACAACGTCATTGTCAGCCTTATTCTTTTGTTTCTTTGGTTGCGATACGAAAGTCGAGAATGCTAAGGGTTGATTTTTTCGAATTGGATAAGTAGACAAACTCAAATTCGATTGATCAGGTGGATAAAAGGAATAAGGCGGAGGATTTGATTCGTAAGGTAAATTAGCCTGAAGAGCTGGATGGATATGATTGTTAATTGAGTCCTGTATTTGATGATTCAATACTTTCGATTCTTTGTAGAGAGAATAAATTACAAGTGACGAATATATACTTTCAATTAATAGCAAAAATGATAGAATCATTATCAAAGGTATCAATTTATCGACCGATGCATTTTCAACACTGTCATTATCTGTAGTTTCCGTAATCAATTCGGCGAAAAATTCTTTCGTTTCTTCTGGATTTGTTTGCATTTTAACAATTAAATAGATCAAAGTAATTATTGAGCCAACGATAGAGATGCCTTGCGCAATAAGATATGGAACCAGACACGTTGGCTGATTCTATAAAAAAAGAGATGCGAATATAAATTTAGTTCATGGGTCATCATCGATGGCGAATGATGTTACCTTTAAAATGCCGAACATGAGACATCCTCCGACTGCAAATTTCACCACTACAATACAAACAAATTCAATTAATTGTTGATTGAACTCTGGATGTTATTTGGAAACAATGTGCCGAAACATACATGCTACAGAAATGTTGGTCCGAATTAGTACAAGTCCCAAGAAAATTTCAAATCCAGCTATAATCAAACCTATAATATTCGATGTTGATTGTTGAAATTCAATATATTTTATGAAATTGCATTGATAAGCGAACATACCACCAGTTCTCAAATTAACGCAACAACATGATTTTAATTTCATTGCTTTTTTTTTAAATTTACTTTCAGTTGATTATCATTTAAATATTAATAATAAAAAATTATTTTTCACATCAAAATCAATTTCAAATGTAATTTGTCAAAAAATTCAATCAAACTTTTTTGGAGACAATTAAACAACTCGCACGATGACTGAGCAAACTGAATAGTTGAAAATTTTGATAGATTCTTAAACAAACAAGGAACGATTGTCTTTTTAGGTCGAACTTATGTCAATAAATGACATGAACGTGTGATTATATCCATGATATGGGCAAATGAATTCAATTTTCCACATAAACAGCTGTTTTTTCTGATGAGACTTTCCGTTTTCCAATGAGATATTCAACTTTTGTATCATTAAAATTTCAAGTTCAAAATTGTTTGGGAAAATCACAGTCTGACCTTATTCGAATTGTATGAAATATTTACATCGATTGTATATCAATATAATCCTTTCAATATATTACTTATGCTATGAAAAATCGTATAGGTTAAAATCCTTTACACTTCATTTTATAATAAAGCGTTCGCCGTTTCTCGATAGCATTTTTTGGCCTTCGATTCTTAAATTATTACACTTGAATAAAAAAAATACTCATAAGCACGTTTAGAGCTTCGACGCAACCGTTATGATTTATTTGAAAACTTCAATATTAAACGATTTGAAACTTTATGCAAACGACTCGGATAATGCAGTAGAGCTTTTAAATTTAAAGTACAATTAAAATGATTCGTAAAGTACGAAAAAGCGATTGTTACGATGGAGCGTCCCAATTGATTTGTTAAGCGACCGCCGTTTGAATTTAAGTTTGTTTAATTTTCATCAAAACATGTTTAAAATCAATAAATCATTTTTTGCTTTGTTTCATTGATCTTTAAACAGTTTTTCCTTCTTGGCCATAATGGAATTCGATGTATTTTTGACAAGAAAATTAGATAAAATCGTTGAAGATATAGCCATCTATTAATAATAACGGAATAAACAAATGTATGCTCATATTTTCGAATATTCTATATTTCAACCGAAAAAATTCGCTAAAATAAAAAAAAAATAACGATCCAAGAATGAAATTAAGAAAAAAATTATTTCATTTTATATTCAATATGTTTAACGATCTAGTGGCAAATTTTAATTAGTATGATAACCTAACGGAAACTGTGATTGTCTAAAACGAATAATCGGCTTATTAAGATTTTATTATCACAAAATGCCATTTTAACAATTTGTGAATTATAGAAGGACAAGGTATTTGGAGGACAAAATGCACAATATACATGTACTTTAATATAGATGATCTGATGTTTAACATAATTTACATCAAAGATGTGAAAATTTCTCCGAAGCTATTCATTCGAAATTTTGTTGCGTATTTAAATCATTAAAATTTAATTTCTTCAGCTACCATTTGTTTACGATGAATAAATGAAATTTAATTTGCATGAAATACAGTTCATTGTAATGTAATGATGGTCGAAGAAGAAAAAACCCGATCAGGCTAGAATCATTCGTTTTGAAGAACAGAAACATGTACTACGCCTGCATGGAAAATTGTGAATACGGCTGTGCGTATGTATATATTGCATCACAGCGTCTCCTCCTTCGTCAGATGAATTGTGGTGTGCTTCGAGTGTCTACTTGTGCAATATGTACGAAACACAATGTGTGTGACTCAGTTCGTGCTGTTGCTACTACTAATATTCGCTCGAGTTATTTTTCTCTTCTTCTTCTTCGTCTTGTTGTTGTTGTTTTCGTGTGCTGTCTGCTCGGCTACATTCTCTATAATCTGTTGGTAGCGCAGCAAAGTGTTATAGGTTTGTTGCTTGCAAAGTGATATCAGTCGTGTTTGAAACGTCGTCTAAGCCAAATGGAAATTTCGACTCACAAAACATAACACACTTGGCAAATATTTCGTATTTAAAACTAAATGAGAATTTTTGAATGAAAGTTTACATTTAAAATAAAATAAAAACTGGTTTCGAAAGACAGTAGAAAAAAAGAAAGAAAATTCTAATAGCACCGAAAAAAATACTGTCAAACTATAGCATTCCCGTTATCTATGAACGATTGATTTATGAACTTATAAAAAAACGATTGTTTTGGTTCGATTTCTAAATTATTTCAGCGAAAGATATTTTGAGTGAAACGAACGATTACGCGGCATCGGACGATTTTCAGTTTATCTCTTTTACTTTTTTTTATTTCACACGACACTTGAAGCTTTAATAAAACAAAATATATAAATAATTAAATATATATAATTTTGAGATATAAAAAAGATGGGCAAAGACGAACAAATTGATGCCCAAGTGACAAAATCAAAACCATCCAACGAATCAAATCTAAAAACAACTGTCGATGATGAACTTACGAAAATTGGCAACGGAGGCCCATGGGTTTGGTTCGTTTTATTTTTTAATTCCTTCTTTTTTTCGTAGAGTGTTATTTATAAATTATGTGCAGGATTTAGATGTTAAACTTCAATAGATGATTGAGTGTAAGTGTGCGTGCGTTGCGTGAGAAAGTATTTTGAAATAGAATTGTGCGTGTTAGATATGTAAGATGTATACACACATGGTTGTCTCGAGAAAAAAAAAAACCGAAAGAAACGAAAATAAAATATGCGCGTACGGATCAGACTGAAAGCATCTTGAAAAAAATATGCAATGAGTGTATGTTGACGTGTGTGTTTTTAAGAGACAAACGGGTCGATAAATACGACTGATATGGAGAACATATGACAGTAACAAATCTTTTTTTTTTCAAATATTTTCTGTATTTTGTCACAGGCACACATAGAAAATGTGTTCTGGAATAATTGTTAAAAATAAAATATAACACACCATATATTCAAGGTGCTGAAACAAACAGAATATCTTCTGTTTTTTGTTTGCTTTCTCCTGATCGGCTCACATGACACTTTCTCAAAGAATTTTCGTGTTTATTTTTTAGTCTGTGTACTGTATCGATTATCAGTGCGTAATCAATTGAATTAATCGGGATACGTGTCGTACAATAATAAAAATGTAGATATATATTCGATTTTATAAAATCGCACATGATTTTCCAGTGTTGATGTTGTTGTTTTTGTTCACATCATATTGATGTTGGAATGGCATGAGTTTGCGCAGATCAATAAAACTGAACAAAAACCATGCAATTTTCGGACAGATGTGTATGATATTGGCTAAGAATTGCATCATTTATTTTGTTAACTCTAAATATAAAATATGTGATTCGGTGTTTGTTATTCATTTCATACAAAACACATGTACATATTTTGCGCGCGAAAAATCCAACACCAAACAAATCATACTTGAACAGTTGACGGGCTGTGCGTATTATATCGGGCAATAAATGATTTGCTCTTTTTTGTTTTAAAGCCATAGACGACCATACATTCAAAGCATTGCTCTGTCGGCACTCGTTGCTACAAGCATTTTGTTGGCGCATACTCTTGTGTTTCAAACCAACTTTAACAAATATTGGTTAACCTTAGGAACGGTACTACCAGCCACCTCTTATCGATAATTCCATCGCAAGCGAACAAACAAAAATCTCATTTAATCTCATTGTCACACGTACACAGGAGCCATATCGCAATCGAAAAGTAAGTTTATCACACTTGGGGGGGCAGAGACGGAAAATTAGCGACCGTCTAATCAAATTAACATAAATTAAATGAAAATGCTTTTACTTCGAATATTTGCCGTTCCATTTGCATATCCATTTGTTTATATTGAATTCTAGTATCAATATTCGAAACTATTGACAAACAACATAACAATTAATTTGATTGAAGCAAAGTTTTTCATTAAATTTATCTAAGCGCCACAAATATACGGAAAATAACAGTTGAAGATAAATAAAATTGATAAGTATAAACAAAAAACAAAAAACATGGATTAAATTCTTACTTTGTAGATAAAAAAATGGAATAAATTATTTCTTGTTTTTCAACAAAATATGACTGACATAGATGATACATAACATTCAAAATCGGAATCATTACGTACGTTCATTTTCCGCAAACATTGATTGTTTACTTGTTCAGACAATGACATTGCATGTGCACGGCAAGAGACAACAAATTAACACGAATATATCTTATGTTGAACGAAAATGGGTCAGTTTTTTTTTTCAATTTGTTCCAAATGATTCCGGTTTGCGCTGATACATTTTGAAAATGACATAATTATCTCAATGAATTAATATGACGAATATGGTTTAAATTCACTTGAACACATTTCAAATCCTTCCTCCACACAGGACTTATCATTACGGCTAAATATCAAATTTACACTTTCGACAAATTTCATAGATGTGCGATTAATTGGCTTAAAAATGTGTACACAAAACAAAATATTCAGTTTTATTGACTGGTAGCCGTCATTAGCCGGAAACAGCAATAATATCGAAAAATAAATTATTTTATGATAAGATAGCTGAATAACGCGCGTTTGTGCTTCTGTTGTTTACATATTTTATTGCCTCTTTATATGGTAAAAATGTCCTCGGTTTCGTCGAATGCGAAAAATGAAACAACAACATTTAACAAGGACTTTTCACTTGTTGTGCCCAATGATGACAAGTCATTTTGAAAAAAAAAAAAAAAAAAATTGCAATCGAAAGTTTTGATTCAATTCATTTAGCAACACTTGTTTCACATCGGCACATATCAAAGTGTCATCTTGACACAATGGAAGCTCCCACATCAAGTGCATTTATTCACATTTTTTGTTTCGGTTTATCGTTTCTCTTTTCACCCAAATTCAAAATTGACTTTCGCATATATTAAGCGATTACAAAAGCGCCAAAAACCAAAATCACCATCAACATTACATTTTGATTTGTATGCGATTTAAAATCGAAATCGATAAAATCGCCGCTGTTGCTCCCATTCTGTTATTACTCTGCCTTCTTCTTCTGTAAGTGCACTTCACAATTTATATACAGAAAAAATAAAATAAAAAATAAAAGTATACACCGGTGAATAAAGTATGTGATGAGTATGTGTTATTGAAAATATTGTGTATAACATGAATTATCTGTGAGAAATAAAATTGGGTTATTTATGTGCCATTGTTTTCATTTTGCATTCTTCTCTCTGCAAAACTCTCTTTTGTTTGGGTTTTTGTCTTGTATATTATTAAAAAAAAAACACACAAAAAAACAAAACAACATCATCAGGGAACCAAATAGAAAAGAGCAGTCAAGGCACAGAAAATAATCGTGGTACAGAAGCAATGAGATAGAGACACACAGGTAAATAGATAGAGAGAAATTTGTTTTGTTGAAACGTGATTCGAATTTTTATAATTGAATTGTTCGTTCTTTAAACAAAATGCGGTATTTTTTACATAGGTTTTTTTATTTTCATATATTTGTGTGTGGGACCCCCATTCAAAGTGGTCGTACTTTCAAAAGTATGCACGAAATTGCGTCGCATACATTATCGTGGTGTCAAAAGAACCAATAACTAAAATAGTTGGGTACTGAATATTCATTTTTTGACAAAGAAATTTGCTACCGTGCAATTAGATTATGCAAATAAGTAAAAGTTCGCACACACGTCGCTTAACCTTTTTTTTATTTTTATTTCTGGTAAAACACTTTTTCGGCTAGTCGTCTCATACGAAATCAAAGGTCAAAGCCGAAATTGTGGCAGGACTGAAATCAATGTTTGTAGAATTTTAATGTGGCATTGTTTTGGAATTTGTGGGCTATGGCGTCTGTCTTCATTATATTTGGTGCAAATGGATATAAATTCTTTTTTTAACACAAATAATTAAATCGATCTTACTTTCACCTTGATTATATATCAATTTGATCAAAATTACAGTTGCAAGTTCCTCTTGCAAAATTTTATGCAGCTTTTTGTTTGCGAAATTGTTTTTGACTCAGAATCGATCAATTTGACAATAAAATAGACGATAATTAGACATTATAATATGAGTATTTATTGGTGGCAACCATGTTTCACATTCAATAGCTTCAACATACGTAAAAACACTATAATCACATTAAAATATATAGCGGATATAATTTCATGCTAAATTGAGTTCTATTTGTATTCTGTGATCTAACAATCAAGTTGAAAAATCGGAAATCTCAAGTCCATATGATTTGTATTTGTCAGTAAGATGAAATTTCCGAGAATTCCGTCCCGAAACATTTCGTCACATATGAAATGCAAATGTTCGCCATATATTTCGTCAAAATAAAATCATAAATTAGCGCTTTTTTTGGGCTCAATCATATTTTGCATGTGTGTGATGATATCATAAAGCGCTGGATTGTCAATGTGTATCATCCAACGCCAAAATAAATTGACATCAATTTGTCCAATGTATCAACAACATTATTATTTTCCTGCGTAATTTTCAGGTATCGCCATTCTATTCATTCTGTGTGATAAATAAAAAAAAATCAAAAATTTGGTCATGTTCAATTACAACTTCAAGCATATTGATAAAAACGTGATTGCGTACATTCAAAATGCAAAATATCGTTAACCAAATTCTTCGATGATAAATGAACGACATTCACGTAAAAAAATATTAATATACGAGTGTGAATAAACAATGTTGAAAAGAATACTTGTAAGCTTTTAAATGTTGATTCCTCGTTCCGGCTTAGATACATGTAAATTAAACAACAAAAATTGAAATATGATACCATGAAAAATCTTCCGGTGACATTCATAGTGTGGATAATAGGCTTTTAAGCACACACTTACTCATCGATTTACTGTGATTGAACAATAGAAGCACATTAAAGGTTATTTGATGCACTTTGTTTACGAATTTATCTATTTTTTTTTGTTTCATTATGATTCTGTTACAATTTGAATGGTCAATTAAAACCAATGACACCCGCAACTGTTTTCTTCACATTCGAATGAGTAGCACTTGTTATATTAAACATGCATTCATTAAAATGTGTACGATTCCAAGCGATACGATGACACGGTGACGAAAACAACAGTAATAAACTAGTGCACTAACGAGGCTTCGTCGGCGCTCATTACTGATTAGTGATTTAAGTCGTTCGTATTATTTTTGTAGCAAGCGGTTTTAAATAGTAAGTTGATCGGTTTTTTTTTGCCTGAATCAGCTGAACATCTGATTGCAAATTCATTGATCTCTCTTTTTTCTTTATCGTTTTATTTTTACACATGCTGCCTAAACACATTTTGGTTGCAACATACGCTCTAAACCGGTAGGATTATCGAATTTCAATCATACATTTTTGCCATGCCATTCATTAGATGAAAAACGAATGTCAAGGCCATTGTCATTGATTTTAAAATTGAATTAAACATTCCAGTCAAACACTCTGTATCTCTTTTTGTATGTTTGTTGTTTTTAAACGAAACACAAAAAAAAAAAAACAAAACAAAATTAAACGTAGACAATAGCGCGTCATGTTATTTCGATATCTAAATAAAATCAATGTTATAGTATAAAATACAATGTAAATATTCATTGATACGACGCTGTGTACGAGCACACCGCAATTGATTGACATGATAAACTCAATGTTGGTTCGCATAATTAAACGGAAATCGAAACGAATTCAATGCAATTACGTAAAATATATATAAAAAGGGGCTAATGTTGAAAGTGATCTTTCATTTTTGTGACTAATCTAAAATTTATAAAATTTAAACACTTGGAAATAAAAGTTTTTTTACTGTTTTCGTCCGCGAATCCAAAAGACAATTTTATCTCAGGCATGAAGTCAATGCGAAAACAGTGAAAACAGTGTAGGCCCGCACAAATATCGATAAGATCATGTAAGTTCATGTGCGGCTCTCTGACACTTGTAAGTTTGTCCCCATGCTTTCCTCTTCTTATTCATTTTTCTTGCCTAACTCTGAGATTCCAGGTGGCAGCACATCTACATGTTCAAATCTCATTACATTGCTTTAAATGGAGTGCGATCAGACAGCGGAGTTTTTGGTTCTTAACAAGTTGCGGAACTTGTGATCATTTGCCCCTAGATAAAACTTCATTAAAATGTCTCTCTCTCTCTCTTATAAGTAAAGAGCTTGTGATACGTCAAAATGTTATGTTGATTAAAGCATTGACTATTTCTTTTTTGAATTTACAAATACAAATAAAATCCGATCGAATTTGTTATGAATGGCATAACATGGTGTCTAACGGTGGATTTCATAGATATATAGTACATTTACGGATTTTAAAATCGATTTGAATTGAAATGAGTAAAATAGAATTTGTAATTTATATAGACGCACGACAGTGACTAGCGTTCGAGCATTGGAATAAATTATAAAATTCTCACGCAAGCTATTCGATATCATTTCATTTGTAGACTGAGACCGAGCTAAAAAAATGTTGCAACTACGATGCAATCGCCAGCCGTTTAACAGCAAATAATTCATATTGTTCTTATAAAATTTGTTCGTTCAGACATTGCCAAAAGAATATTACGAAACGCAATCTTATTTATTATCGAATGCCAATTATAATTTATATATTATTCGCATCGTGTTTGCCAAAACGCGCATTGTGCCTACAATTTTGGCTGAGCTCGGGCATCATTATGTTTGGCCATAGAAATCAAAACAAATTCTAGCGCGTTAAATATAACAAAAAGGTCAATTCGCAAACGAATACGTCAAAGCGATTGTTTCCTTTGCATTGTGCGCCGCACATTTACCGACACTTGCTACTGTGGTGTGAAAGAATTTTAATTTGTAATAAGACGGTTTTGTGGTCGACAACGTGATTGAATTTGAATTATACGGCCCAATAAAAGGAAATAACAATGTCTGAGACAAATAGTTTGTGTAATTTTATCGTCGTTGTTCATAAATTTTGCGGTGATATTACGGATCATAAAAAAAAAACAATAAATGTCGGAAAATTTATTCAAAATCATGTAATCACGGTACAAAATCAAATGATGGCCAAACATGCTACCTATATTTCATTGTTTACCCGAAAGTGAGAAGCAGATAGAGTTTGATAAGTTTACGTCAAAACATTGATCGTAATATGGCAAAAGATTATCATTCGGTTTTATATTCATTGTGTTTTACAGCAACCTGTTCACATTGCGTGCAATTCACCTAGCCGGCCCGCTCCTTATTTTAATATTATTGCTGTGCATATTTACATTTTTGCGAACTTTGTCGGATAAGATTTCATGCTGAAAGCTAATTCGATTGGTCGGATTTGGATTTATAAATTATTGCCTTTTCTTACGCTGCTATCGAATTTTTGCAGAAAAGTTGAGCAATTTCCAATTTTCAAATAATTTAATACAACAATCAATTTGTTCGAGTAAAAACTCCGAATGCTGTAACTGCATTCAAATCCATTGGTGCAGCCATTACTTAATGAAATAGAATTTAATTTAAACAAGGCCGTATCATCGGTATCGAATGGCGGAAAAAGAACACAAAGGTGTGGTAAACAAAATCATTGTGATTCGATTTTACAAACGAACGAATAAACGCAAATATACGATCACCACGTAAACTTGAACTTGAAAATAGAAGAAGAAAAAAACAGATTGCACGACATTCAGCTGTAAAAATAAACCAAAATAAATACATCAATTAATTTGCCAAAGTGTTTTCCTGCCAGCGAACATATATCGAAGCACAAACAAGTAACGAAGTTGCATGAAAATTAGCATGGAAAACGTGCGTCCTAGATTCACAAGTGCTCACGAGACAATTAATTGCTTTAGATGCGTCATAATAGATTGTTGCAACGGAAAATAAAGCCAAATCAAAGCAAACATCATTATACACATTTGATTTTTATGAACAAAGTGGTGGAAACATTTTGTCATGTTATTGTAGATCACATGTAAATCACTGTAGGTCGGATATCCGGGTTGTCTGGAACTTTTCATAACAAAACACGGTCCATTAACCTGATTTCACCAAGATTCTTCAAAATGTTCATCGATTCTATTTAACAATGTTTTTTTTTTTTTAAATCAAAAATACCAATTGGTATTGATATCTCCATCTTTATTAACTGTATAAACATCATTTATTAAAGATATTTTGTGATTTCTGGAAACTCATAATTGTATTTAAGAAAAACTGAATTTCGACTGGTTCTTTACACTAATAAAAAATGTGTTTGGTAACTCAATGATTTTCTTTTACAATTTTTTCTTGAGCGGCAGTTTTCCCTCCATAAATTGGCATTTCATCCAAAATAACAATAATAACAATAAAAACTGGTTGTTTACTCAATTTTTTCTTCTATGTAGAACAAACCAGAATTTTAAAATACAATACGGTTCATTGTTTCGTTCGCGCTTTGACGCGCAATCAATATTGGGCTTGACTTAAAACGTACGCATAGTCGCATACACAACGTTTTGTTTTTCTTCGGCAAATATACCAGTAGACGAGAATTGTTTGAAACATTTTTACACATCAACCACAGATAAATTATTCAATTAACTTTTTACACCATATCAGGCCCGTAGCTAGAGCATGGTAGGCTCGTGGACTCAGAAAATTCCGATCGAAAATTAACACATTTCAAAAAAAACGACTGCATTGATTTCAAAGTTATTTTTGATAAATTCGTATCGATATTTCTACGAAAAATATTGTTGAATTTATTAATGTTTAGGCTGCTCGAATCACTCTTCATCGTTCTATAGCACATTTGTCTTAATCAAAATGTGCTGAGAAAGCCAAATGTTCATGCTTTTTGAAATAAAAAAACAACAAAACAATAAAATTCCATTTATGGACTTGATGCAATTGCAAATATCTTCTCAATATGACTTTGTTCGTCTCTGGATTTATTTTCTGGTGGCGCATACGAATAAAGTCGTCATCCATGGAAGTAATGACAATGAAAATTTGAGGCTGAATCTTCCCAAAAATGTTGGTCTCGCTACGTGGCTGTACCACATTCAATTGAGTGCGATAATCTCAAACTGATATTCTCATACCTTTTGGCCAATTCATAAACACAGTGTAATTTATTAAATGAGCTGCTAAAAATATATCACTTTATATACTGAATTGATCTTGATGATTGCGTCGAAGCGGAAAATCATTTCAATTAAATGGATAGTTTCATTTCAGCATCTGATTTGTTGATAAGATCATGAGACTATTGTGTCATCACAACAAATAACCCTATATAGGAATATAAACAACAACATTGTGTTAGACAATTGATCATAATGCATGGCATTTGTAGTTAATCAATAGTGTATTCAGGATGAGATTTACATGAGAGTTAGCAAAATGTTTTTTTTTATAGTGTCGATACAAAGAGAGCGAAAAAAACTATAATTTAGTATGAATGTGAATTAAGTTAAGAGATTTTAAAGTTTAAAATTAAAACTGGGCAGGTCACTTATTCAATTGAGATGTTTGAAAAATGAAGCTATTGAATGCACATTTGTCATTGGTTTAAATAGTTTATATTGTTGACATTAACTGAGACATAACATTATAAAATTTCCAAAATTCACTTTTCAAGCGATCAATTCTCCAATTTTGTTTATATAATATGTTTTTTTTTTTCATGGTCATTTCATTTTAGGAAGTTATTTTTCCTGTGTGTTACACCAAATATATTAAACGGTTTCCATGTATCATCGTATGTTTTTTTGGGTCAACCGCCAAAAGACTATTGGTGTGACATCAACGAGCTAAAAAATTCAAATTTCAGTGATCATCAAAAGCGAACCATATCATCAACGTAAATATTTTGATGCCATTCTTTTCTTTGCCATTCTTCTTCAATTGAATTTGTCGCCATTTTCAATTGTCCGTATGTAAAATAATCCACACAATGCACTTTCGTTATTGTAGAAATAATGGCCTTGGCGATGGATGTAAAATATTAAATTGGGACTATTCATATTTGAGTTCAATGAGCTACGATGATGCTGTTTCATATACACAATCACATCCCAAACCTGACGCAATCTCGTGTTTGGACAAACCAAACAATGGCTATTATTACGTTCAAGAGCCGGGCTCCTCAATTGTCCTCGAGGTATATGATTTTATTATTCGATCAGACAAATTTAAAAATAAAAATCATATTGTTTATTTCGATTGTATTTGTTGTTGTCAACAATTTACAGTGGGATTTAATTTGTGAAAAAAGCTTTTGGCGAACAACCGTTGCCACGGCCGTATCAGTTGGAAAATTTTTAGGAGCAACTACATTTGGTATTTTATCGGATAAATATGGTAGAAGGACATGCTTTATTATTGGTTCAATATTTTATATAACTGGAAGTGTTCTGACAACATTTTCACCATGGTACTGGCTATTCCTCATTGGACGTGTACTCTTGGGATCATCCAGCTCTGGTCTTTTCTATCCAGCATTCTCATTGTGTAAGTTTGAATTCACGACCTATTCCCTTCGAATAAAAATCACAAAACCATCAATTTCAATATTTGTATAAATTTTCTTTAGTAACGGAAAATATTGGATCAAAGCATCGCTCATGGATGAGTATCGCATTCTCGATGTCATATCCCGTTGGTATGATTTTATTGGCAATTTCAGCTAACTACATCCATGCATGGAGGCAACTTCAATTCTCACTAACTGTACCTGCATTTTTATTGGTGTTTTATTGCTAGTAAGTAGCAGATTTTTTTCACAAATATTGAGAGACAACGAAAGAAATCGATTTGATCAAATTAATTTTATTGTTTTCATTTCGAACAGTTTCCTCAGTGAATCACCGCGATGGTTGATCAGTAAAGGACGTGAGGCAGCAGCTTATCGTATTGTATTTAATAAGAAATGTGATATGGAATTTGAAGAGAAAGCTGCTTCAAAAGCAAAAGAAGCTGAACAACAGGTACTGAGCGTTTTTCTTTTTGTTTAAATTATCAGAATATCACAAAACAGATTATCACAATCCAAACAAATCCACATAGGTTGATATAAGATTTTTTCCGCCCAAATTGAGAATCGTTTATTTTTGAATATTCCATGAAAAAACCAATTCCAAAAACTTTTCATACTATCCACATAAATTCGAACTTTTTCAATTGCTTACTGCAAATATTTGAAAAAAAAAAATTATATTTTTCTCGTTTGTATAAAAACAAAAAATTAGGCCAAGGATGCTGATCAAAATAAAACAAAGATGCAGCGAATTTTCAAAGAGTTGCATGCATTATATGGGCCATCCCGATTGCGTCGAATGGCATTGATTTGTCATTACACATGGTGTGTGACGGCGTTGTCGTATTATGTGACTGGTAATTTTCTAAAAAAAAATTAATCTTTTTCCATGTTTCACCACCTTGAATTTCTGAACAAACACAATATATCAATGCATTGTTTTTATTTCGTCGTTTCTGATAGCATTGAATGCCGATAACTTGGCAGCCGATCGGGTAACTTATGTAGCGTCAACGGGTGCTGTTGATTTTACTAGTCTTATTTTATCGATGACACTATTGAATTTCTTCGGACGAAAGATATCATCGTGTGGTTTGTTCGCACTATCCGGTTTCTTTTTACTCTCTTTAATCATAATACCAAGAGGTAATATTCAGAATAGCATCGTGTGAAATTGATTGATTTTCAAATGCGTTCATCCACTTTAATATAGATAATAAAAACTTGATAGTATTTTTTGCGATGGCCGGTCGATTTGGTATAACAGCTGTCTATTCCATTGTGACATGTGAGTTACGACCTATCCAATTCAACTAAATTGAACGCAACATTTAAAACAAATACCATTTTTATCCATAAAGTGCATACGGCTGAAATGTTTCCAACGAGTATAAGAAATTCCGCATTGGGGACGAGCAGTACATCGAGTCATGTCGGAAGCATTATGGCGCCATATGTTGTCGATTTCTTGGTATGAAACCGCCAGTTTTCCACTGGAATGTCCTTTTTATAACATGACCAATAATGTTTTTGTTTCAAATTTTTTTAGGGACAAATTGCATGGTATATCCCAACTACGATATGCGGTGTATTGATTGTAGTTGCTGGAATGCTGTGCCTCACACACCCAGAAACAAGATCTAAAGATTTAAAAGACCAAGTTTAATGCACAAAAACGCATTTTCACAATTTCCTCTATAAATTTATTGTAATTTTCCAAAATTATTCGTTACACAATGTACACCGATTCCCAAATAATCGGTGATCAATTTTATTTTCTCTAATTTAAGCTAGTGTAATTTTATTTGAAGGTATAGAATAAGAAAATGTGTAAGATAGACAAAGGTATGAAAAATAGTCAAATATAGAATACAAAAATTTAAGACAATTATTTACAGAAATGGCCAATCGAATGACGTGATATTCGATATATTATCGATAGGTATTTTTACAAATAAAAATGACAAATAATTTGTGACAGAAAAATGTAAAACCAATCTTACAAATAAAATGTTTCAAACAAAAAGAGAAAATAAATTATGTTGAGCCATATAAATGAAAATGATGTGTTATTTGGATATGACGCTTTCGATGAAATTCGCATTTGATACGAAGGCAACGCTCGTATAAACGCCGGGCATTCCTACGACAGCACAGTCTAAGCCGTACGAAATAATTCCAACTATTGCCAATATACCATTGTGAATGCAAATTAATCCACTTCCACTGTCTCCCTAGAAAAAATTAATTATAAATAGCAAAGTTTAATTGATTTGATGCATCTAATTATCTTACCAAACATGCATCGCCACCTGGTTGTTCTCCGACAGCACAAAACATTCCTGAATTCGGTTCAGGCGCATTAAATGGTCCAAGCTCCTTGAGACACGTTTCATTAGAGATAATTTTTACGGGCGCCAGTCGTAAATCGTTCGTTGGATCGCCTCCCACTACCTCTGAACCATAACCGAAAATGTAGCAAGAATCTTAAAAAAAAACAATCGTAATGAGTACCTAATTGTTTTTTGTAAAAAAAATGAACGTTTGCTGACCATTACACGCCGCAAATTCATCGATTATGACTCGAATCGGATTCAGTCTGGGATGGTCACAGGTACGAAAATTAATTTTTAGTATGCAAATATCATTGGCCATCGTATAACTGTGATAATTGAATACAAATGATTTTATTGCTTTACCCATTGAAGGACACATGTATAATGTTACAAATCTAACCGATCATAATCCTTCTTATGCACTGACACCATATTATAACGTTCGCCATTGTAGTTTTTTAGATCTTTTGCACCGAATACTACTGAAATTTCTTTGTCATCGCTATTGAAATTAAATATTATTCATTATTGGTTTTCAATTATTCAAATGAATTTCCGATACACACATATTACTCATACAATGTGATGCAGATAGAACGTATGCCGTTCGATTGAATACATGCAATAAAACACCGCCACAAAAGTGTTTGTAGAAATGTTTTCCGGATGTTTTGTTAAATTCGCGATATTGAATTGACACGGCAAAACTAAATGTATCATCTGCAATGGAATAATGAAATAATTGGATAGGTTTTCTAGAAACAATTATTTTTTTTGTTGACAAACCATCTTCTGGAATAACTTCTCCACCAGAAATCGGTACACTTTGCACCCAATTGATTAATAAAAACATAAATGCTAGATAGACGAATGCAATGCGTTTTAAACACATGATAAGAAATTCAAAGTACACTGCAATTGTTCACACAACGTCCGTCGGGCAACACACTTTTCACACCAAATCGAAAATTCTAATTTTTAACGCATTATCTTCGATTTGACGAAAATAGCGTTCGCTTTCAAATGAATGAAGTTACTGGAAACATTCTTTGTCATGACTAGAATTCGATAGAACTTCACTCGCTCACACACAAAATGTGTATAACAATAAAATTAAACACACAATGTTCTCAACGCTGTTCGGCGTCTGTTACAGCGATATGGTTGTTGTTTTTTTTTTCATTCGAGTATTATTGCTTGAAACAATCGCTTGATGAAAATGAGCAGTCAAATTCTGTTAACATCAAGGCAAAAGAAACGGACGAGAGAGAGAGAGAGAGAGAGAGAGAGAAAGAGGGCAAAAACACACACAAAACAAATGTTTCAAGACATGTGTTCCAATGCAAATAAAAGACTGATGCACACACTAGGGTGGACCAAAGATATGCTATTCTCGAGATAACAATTTTGACATTGTATTTCATCGAAATGCGAGTTCCTTGAACATTTTCAGTATCACACTTTGGAATGAATAAATTAAATACTTTTGTTAAGATATATTTTTTTATCGTTAGAATTGAGCGTACATTTTTTTCATTTAAAAAAGAAACATACGTTTTTCATGTGTGGCAAACAATGACGATATGACAGAATCGAATGCACAGAATCGATATGATTGTCTGGCATAGTCATTTGTGATAAGTTTAGTAAAGATAATAAGCTATTGTTTTAAATGCACATTTTGATGTACATTATAGGCACATTTTGTTTAAGTTTTTTTTTCACTCGAGAATTTTTTTTTTTTCAGTAGTGTTTTCAAAGGCTGCCGAATAAAAAACTACCTTGATACATTTTCATTGCATTCTTATTAACACTATGAGTTGTTCTTATCATTGACTTACATTTTAATTTTCTGTGTTTTATTTTTGGTTTTCAATGGAAATGATTATGGATCGAATTTGTAATCACATGATTTTAATCTTAATACGTCGATCTTTTGTACGTTTCATATAAATTCAAGTCAGTTGAATACTTATAGTTAAATCAATATATTATGGAAATACAAAAGTAGAAATTGAAATTTAAGGTCGCTGACTTTGATTCGATTTATTGTGGACATGATTCTAGCCATGCATATATGGTGTCACTATTTTCGCCATTTTTATCGATTTCCGTACGCTTTTCCATTCGCTGGATACGATGATGCGATTCTACTTGATACACTTTCTTCAATTCGCTGGTTTCTTCAAACGACATTACGCCTGATGAAAAAAAAAGTGTTCTTAGCGATCAATTCAAGGTGAAGTTGTGAAAATAAATCTTACCATGATCTGGGAAGCAATCGATGTCCGTCATTGTGATTGATTTGAATACCAATGCGTCTGGTATTCCACGAATATCGTTGATTTCAATCAATTGCATCATGCCATAATCAATGAAGCGCATTGTTGCGAAGCCATCGTAGCAAATTTCAACACATTCAGCACGATACCATCGACCTTTATACCGAACCACACAATATTCATCGGTCCTGAAATTGTTTCTATTAAACAAATGTCAGTTTGTCAATTAGAAATATCTTACCTTGGTGTATAACTTTTTTCTACTGTAAACAGATAGTTGGAAATGTTTTGAATTCGTCGCTCATTTTGCAGGAATTCGTTCAAATCATCAACCGCAAGGAATGATATATAATTTACAATTATTTGTGAATTATCCATAATAATCACTTCTTTGCCTGACATTTCCGCCAATTTGATCGGTCTTTCGAATCGCTCCGATGCATCTGTTGAAAATATCTACAAAAAAAGAACCAATCATTTAGAATTGGAATGTGTTTATTATTTTATTAATCGATTTTGTGAATACCCGACATGAAATATCTTTGATTTTTGGTATATCGATGCCATCAGTATTCCAATCATTCACCATTTGATTGACCCAATTATCCGGTGCTTTCAATTCGTACAAAGGATTTTCGTCAACCATTTCTTTTTTGATTTTTAATTCAATGTCGTGCATCATCAAATTGTACAAGCACCTTAATGCCTGTTCGTTCATGAGATCTTCGTTGATTTTGCTTAAGTGAATCTTTGTTGCGAAAGGTTTTCGTTTTTGCAGATCGCTTGGCATCACTTTTAATTCACTGTATGGTCGAGTTTCAATGTTACCAAAATCAATGAACGCAACGGCCACTTCGGTGTCGTTGATATGTTTTAAGACTAGCGCACGTTGATAGTAATCGTATTTGGCCAAAACTAGAGATGCAATTGATGGCAAACTTTTGTAGGTTTCAGCGTTGATCGCACATTTCACCGTATCGTTCAGCAACTGTGCAAATGCTGTTTCTTGATCATCTTCGGCCGGCCGAACAAACACCAAACGATGATTTATGACAGCTGTCAATTTTACCGTTTTCATAATCGGTTCGGATTTAATCGTAAAATCAAAAATTGAAGGCGATTTTGATGGCCCTGTTTCATCAAGTTTGTCTGGCTTCTTACAACTGATCGCATGACAATTGAGTGTACAGTAATTTTTATTGCATTGCTTGCATTTTTTGTCAGACGCATATGAATCATTTTCACATTGCACAATGCCATAGTCAATTGAATCCGACTTGAAGATGAATGGTTTCTAATTAAGAATATTTTATTAGAGTTGACGATTGTGTTTGAGAACAAAAATTTCTTTACCTTTTTTAATGAATTATCAGCTTTACTTGGTGCAAGAGAACTTGATTTTCTAAACGCAAAAACATAATAAAAAGAAATCGCTTTAGATCCAATTGAAATATGCAAGAAAATGTCTCATTTTAAGAGAAACTAGCTTGATCTTTATAATTTAAGCAAAACTCGCTGACGAAAAAGAACAAATAAATTCGCTGACTTACAAAATCGCGCGACCATGAACAATTTTATATCCATTTTCCGATTCGTAATCGACATGTGCTTCGATATTTGAGTCCCAGTGGTAACATTTTGATTTGTCAACCACTTTGAGCATGATATTTCGATAGTCTTTACCTTGAATCAGTGATTCACGACTTATTGCTGTTGGATCAGCAAATGGTCCTTGGACTTTTCTGGGGAAAAAAAAATATTTCCTGTCTTTAACAACAATACATTCACAACTAAAACAAATTCGTTCACATTTTGAATTCGTTACCTTTTGCTCAATTCAAGCACATTTCGCAATGGAGTATCGTCATTGAGTAAAGCCGGTGCGTTCAGAAAATCATAATCGTCTTGATTTCGAACAGGTTCTTTTTCTCGGGCATGTTCCACGATAATCGGCAGTGATTCATTGTCATCATTGAAACGACGCAATATATTTTCGACTTCACTGTTATGAAAACCGATGTCAAATAATGAATATTTCACCAGTGATTGGAACAGATTAATTTTGGTTTTGTTACTTACGCAGATGATTCATATTGAACAAATGCAAATAATGCACCGTTTGGTCGATTAAAATGTTTCACTTGTCCGTATTGTTGGCACATACTAATTATACCATCGTCAGTAAAACCTGGTGGGATGTTCTTCAAAATCACTTTGTCATGTTTGCGCCGCTCATCATAGGAAAACTTTTCTGGAAGTTCCCATTGATCTTCTTCGAATTCCATGTTTGTTCACCAAATTTTCTTTTTTCTTTTTGCTGTGCAAGCACGTTTTTAGTCCGTTGTGTTCAAATGTTTATACAACAGTAGATTCGTAGAATGGTTTGTGTTTGACAGCAGCTTCGTTTGACAGAATCCAAAGCACATTCTGTAAAGTATTTTCATCGTTGATCGTCACTCAAAGTGTGGTCAATCATTCACGGAATTTAATGCATGAAAATGAATTATTATTACGTTTTAATTGGATTTTTTTTTCGAAGTAAATATGTTAAAAGTTTATATTAATTTTAATGAAATTCCGTTTATTTATATCCTCCATATAATGCGGCTAATGTTAAGTATCCAAAAGCTCAATTAAGTACATGAAAGCATTTCAGCATACAAATGCATTGGATTGGAGTTCCACAAACGAAACAGAAGAATATGTGTGGAACTCAAATTCGAATTGGAATTCGTTTGGATTTCTATGATCAATTTTGGAAATTTACCTAGTTTTAGCAATTTATGTTGGTGCGATGAAGAATATTGCAAGTAATAATATAAAAAATTACTCTATAACCCAGAAATCACCATTTCATCATTGGAATCGAAAAAAAATTATCTTTCCACTCTAATTTTGATGAAAAGTTACAACATCAGCAGTTCATACACGGTTCGAAGTTGACGAAAAATATTTGTTACCCAGCATATTTGGTCTCATCAGATATTCCGTTAAAATTCACTACAGTTCCTTCTCTCCGATTTACCCAAAAATGAAGAACTCATAAGCAGATAAAAGTTTTTTTAGTTCTTTATGGTATGTTCCATGGTTTTGTTAAATAAAATTCATCAGTCATATTGCACTGAAGTTATTTTTGAACTATGCGGTGGCCATTTGAAAGTTAAACTCTCTCCGCAATGTCATATGAAATAAGAGAATATCATAATAAAAATAAATGTTGTAGGTTCCGCTAGTGAAAATTTCGTTCATCATATCTGTTCAGTGTCAAAGGTCAAATGACCATAAAGAAAAAGTTAGACGTAAAAAATAATCCGAGTGTTAAGTTTTTCATTCAAATTTATTTTATATATTTATCTAAATATTCAATTAGATAGATCGATAATTCATCATCGATAATTTCTTAGTGATAGTGGATTCAATTGATGTGAACTGGTTTGTTTTCTGCATTTTAGTTTGCATTCTTCAAACATGTTTGTAAATGTCTTAAGAAAACAATGCCCATCTCATCAAATAGAATAATAATGTTCGGCTCCATAGGAGCCATAATTAATTTTGTTTCAATTGTTATTTAGAGTATAATTTTGGTTTTGTCATATTTTTGTTGCAGTCAAAAGATTAAAAAAAAACATATGTGAAAGATTTCAGAAATTAAGACCTCTTGCCATTTCGTTCTATGAAACGTTCCAAGTATCCGAGGACATCATTTTAAATACATGAAATCATTCACAATGTAGAGGAAAATCAAAATGTCACACACGACTATAAAATGAACACACGTTTGTAAACACACTCGAAAACAAAAAAAAAAAAAAAAAAACAATGCAAAATATTCAGTAGTATAACTACGAATTGATGTGTGCCGAAATAATATATATGCCATATATTCATACAATATAAAATTGAAAAGACCGATATAAATTTGTTATTGTATTTCATCAGAAAATTGAAATGATTTTTTGTTTTATTCTCTCTATTTTTTTTTTTGCATTACCGTGTCATGATTGAAAAGATAGTAATTATTAAATTTTTGTTTGTTAATTTGAACAATGGAAATGGGTGAGATTTTTATTGATAAAGAAATTTATTGATTTGGTTTGCACTTTGTCGAAATAGCTAAAATCTATGTTGTTCAATTTGGTTAACAAGCGATTGCCGACTATTTTGTATTGTTGAGCTTTAAACATTTTGTGACGATAAAATTCTATTTTCAATTGACTTTACTGCGATGTAAGAAAGAATTCTTCTTTTATATAATTTAATTTAATTTTGGATTGTTTTATATTCAGTGTCTTTTCTCTTTCTCCTATGTATTTTTTCATTCTCTATACTGTCTTTTGCACTAAATTTTATGAATTTTTAATTTAATTAATAATGATAATAATTAATTGTTGGTTTTGTTCCCATTCAGAAATTGCTATAAATTTTTTTTTTAATAAACATTACATATAGATTTCTTCGATTTAACTTAAGCAATTTACATCGATTATTTACAGTCGTTTGTTCTTCGTGCTCTGGCATTATAACTATATTTATCTTGTTCCATTCATGGCTTTTTCGGATTAGATTGTATAACGTAAATTCACAATTTAATTCACGTCAATTGTTTTATTTAAAGTAAATTTTTACGTGCAAAAATCTATGGACTAAATCACAGATTAAAATTAAATAAAACTTTTTTCGTTTTCTCTTTCTTTCTTCTAACATTTAAAAATAAAAAAAAATTCGTTGAAAAAGCCATTGAATATTGGAAGAATCAAAGAGTCTTTCCATCTGACGTTTATCAATCGTTTTTTTTAAATTGTTTCTAACTGGTGCCCGTTTAGGAGCTCTGTCTGTCGCATTTGCCTTTTAAAGTGTGATTCTAAACACTATGAACTACTGATCCGATTGCATTTGATTTGAGCATGCATTTTAAGCATATTCAATTCAACGCCGGTAGAAAATATCGCTTCAGTAAATAAGATTTCGTGATTTCGTTTTAACCAAGCGATTTGTCGATCGTCCGGCTGTTTTTTGATCGCCATTCCAGCTCTTTGATTTTGCACGAAATTGACGGTAATCACTTGAAAAATTTGGATCCAACATTTGACGGTAGTTAATTGGATCACAGAGCTCTGGATATTTTTCGAAGAAATCTTTGTAGCCACCATGCAACAAATAGATCTCTGGATAGTGTAGCGCTGGGTATACATGCTCATTGCGTGATCTATCGTTGTTGCGTAAGAAACGAGATCTGTAAAATAGAACAAAAAGAAAATGATTCATTAGTAATCATGTCGGAATCATTGGAGCTCATATGCTCAACACTTGTGGTACTAAATTTTGCATTTTGCTCATTGAAATAATGGTAATCACTTACAATTTAGGTCCTCGTTCCGATGAGAATTCACAATGGAATACGATAATGTTTCGCATTGGTTCATCCGAAACAAGTTTGGGTGTATCAGTCTTTGAGTTCACTAGTTCGGTCAAAATAAGATCTTGTGTGTATAAATTCTGTGCACCACGAATGTGTCCACCTTCGAATTCATATGGATATCGACAGTCGATGACTTTAAATGAAGCTACCGATTCTTTGTATTCGCCACGCAACAGCTCGGCCATTGTGTGCACTGAAATTGATTTCAAGTCACTGTGACGTCCTTCGAAGGTCAGTGGCAAACAGAATGGCCGACTAAAGTCACCGATCAAATGTGGTTCGGATGATGCTATTGAGAGAAGAAAAACAAAACAACGAATGATTAGTTTTCATGTTGAAAAGATCGTATCAAAACTAGAATAAAATTTAAAAAAAATTGTTCGTCTATGAATACTTACATCGTGATAATGCGTTCATGATGAGGTCATCGTTCATTGACATTGATTTTCGTAAAACCGGCCGTGTAATTGGCAATTCATTTGAATTTTCTTTGTCTTCTCCGCTTTGCTTATAACGTTTACTTTGAATTGGGCTACCAATGGTTGGTGGTTCTGGTCGCTTAAATGTTTTAATGATGCCATTGCACTTTGATTCCATTTCTGGTATGGTTTTCAATGAATCTGGTGTACATGGTCCACGATTAACATTACCATCGGTCATGCTAAGACATCGCCGAAAAACGGGCGTTGTTGTTTGTGTAATCGATGTGCTTGTGGTGGTTGATTTAATATTACCGCTAATTATTGAATTAAATGATGTTGGCAATTGTGCATTATCATCCATTGATTCCATATCAAGTAAATCCATGCAATCATCGTCCATTGATTCCATTGAATCCGACGACAGGCTATTGTATGAACGGAAGCAGCTTATTGATTTTGGTGATGTGCGCACATTTTTTGGCGGTGATGGTTTTGGTGGCAATGCATTTGGTTGAACAAATGTGAATATTTTGCAACCATTATTACTAAAACCCGAATCCATTGAATTGAAATCGAAATCGTGACGCTCTTCGATAATTTCATTTTCACGTAATGGTGACAACAGTCCCATTTCAAGGCATGAGCTTATCGAGCATGGTCGGGGGCTTCCTTGTGGTGTATTGCCCGAGTACAATGACATTTCTTCGGATGACATTTTAACGGGGGAATTTGATGAATCGTCAAAATTCAATGGAGCGATATCAAGTCGTCGTCCCCGTGACGACATGCCGTTTGAATTGATGGTCAAGGCATTTGTAATAAGGCTGTAAACGAAATAAAATAAAAGAAAGAAAAAAATTAGATTCATTCGAAAACAATAGTAAAATCTTATGCATACAATAGTCTCTAAGAAAATGAAGAAACATTCAAAAACTATGTTGTTGTTCATTCTTATTCAATGCAGTTTCACACATTTCATGCCGGCAATCCTTATTCAATGTTATTTTTACACACATAAGTTTTCAGCTACGTGTGCAGCAACAAATGTTGCATGAAAGACGAAAATAAAAAATATAGTGAAAAAGAAAAAGTTAAAAATGAAGAGAAGAAAATATATATATATCGTACATACGAGCACGACATGTATTCTTCGGTCAGAGTCCGTATGTGTGTCTATTAAATTGTTTAGTCTGCCCAAACGATCGCTACGCACGGAAGAATTATGTCGGAGGGTTGAATGCATGTGTTGGTGTACCACCACATTGTATGTGAGTCAGCATGTACGTATGTATGTTTGATGCTTGCTCGTTTCGTTTCGTTCGCTTGCATTAACATTATACAACATACAATTTATGTTGTTTGTTATGTTTTTCGGCTCGAAATTGAAAAGTGCATACAAAATAAACACTACAAAATGTGCACATACATATATGTACGCACACAAATACATAGACAGTGTGAGAGATCGTAGTTAAGACCCCTTGCGCATTTTACCAAAAAAAAAACACACAGAGAATTCTACATCTGTACATTTTGATATTGCTTTTATATCTACTGCCATAGACTAGGGGAAGCATTCTATTTTTACACATTCTCTCTTTCTACGATCAGAAAAATGCATATTGACATATGTACACATCGCATTTGAACTCAAATGGCTTAAGTGCTCTCTCTTTCTCTCTCTCTCCGTGTCTCTGTCTACACTCATAAGATGGAAGAAATGTTAATTAATGAATTACTATCTTTTCTATCTGTCGATAGAAAAACAGTAATTGTTTTTTTTCTTTCGTTGTTCTGCTCGTCTGTTGTGTGCTTCGAGTACAAATGAGCAAACAAGGAGCATACTCTTATAAATTGGATCCTGCTGCACGCAAAGGTGTGCGCACATATTCACATTTTACCACTACTTCTGTTCTCTGTTTATGCATCGAGTATAATTTGTTGACTTATTTTTATTTCGCGCGCTCACGCGCCAATTCATTCAACTGTGTCACATCCAACAGCAGTTTGAAAATTGGCCACATATTCGCTGTGTCAACAAATAAATACTGAATTTCATATTGATGTCTCACACGCTGAATGATTTTGTTTATCAATCGTCATCATCAAAATTACCAATATTATGTGTAACACAGAGAGCATTCCGATCATATTCGATTTTTCATGTTCATACAAAAATTCAGATTGTTCATCGTTCACAATAAGAACTGATATGTGCCAGTAAGATTTTTTTTTATGCATACATAAACACAATACGTAGTATTATTTATATACATATAAAAAAAGTGCTTTTGATTGAGAATCCAAACAAAAATCACTGCATTCACAAGGAATACATTGTGTGTTTGTGTGTACGATTATGAGATGAGAATGAGAAAATAAACGAATCGAAGGAATCAGAATTGAACAAAAAAAAAAGTGAATACAGAAGAAGAAAAATATATACTCAAAAGAGGCAGTGTAAAGAACAAATGAGAGTGCTGCTTTTCGATGATGCTGAGCAAGACAGAGATGAAAATGAAATGGCATGACGATCAAATTGTACGCTTATGCCGAGAAACCCACAAACATAAATAAAATTCACGAAGAATACAGAAGATAACAAAAAAAAAAGAGAGAATAAAAGAATCCAACACAAGATATTCTTCACTTTTACCTTGAGCCTGATTTCATTTCAGATCATCGCTTTTTTCTCTATCTCTCTTTCAACTTCATTTTCATTTCATTTTTATAACGACGTTCCACACATTCTGGACAAGAGTCAACGAAAGAAGACCATAAAAAGATTGAATGATTTTGATCGTAGCGTACGAGAGCGCGATGTGATATGTGTGATGCGATTAGTTTTTTTTTTTTCATATGTACACCGAGGTTAAAAACTCTAATCCGTCTAGTGTCTATAATACACAAAGCATTACCATGGAAAATAATGCATATAGCATGCAGACATATTAAAAGAACTGGCCGACTAATTTGAACATGGAACATTCAATGCTTAAAAAAAAGAAGCCAATGGTCAGCAAAACTTTCGGTAGAATATTTCAGGTGTTTCACTTTCAACGAGAAGTTGATTGTTGTCTTTCGCGCGCGTAAAATGAAAGAAAAATGAATGTTGTGAAAGGCAAAGGGCTTTTTGCGCAAAGAACAATTATGATTAAGTTGTAAATGAACCAATTACACAATTAACACTTAGCATTTCGTTTTGCATTTTACCAACTGGTTTGCGGAAGAAAACGGCGCCGTGATTTTCGTTTGTCGGAATAGATATTCTAATTTTCACGGCACTTGAAAGAATAAACGAACACGAATTTCAAGACGTTAATCATTTAACACAAATATACGCAGAAAGTGAAGTGAAGTGTTTGTGTGTGTGAGAGAGAGATAGAAAAAGACAACGTCCAATTTGCGCACTCATGACCTACACCAATTTATAGTATTCTTTCAGTTTTTTTTTTTTTCATCTTCTTAATACCAATTTGAACATGCATATTGAATGAATTAAAAAATACACACACATACACAGTGATTGCAAACTGATTTAAAACCAAACAGAAAAACAAGCTATTTTCAAACTAGTGTGTAGATGATCTCATGATCGATTTGACAAAGAATGTTATTCCAAATAAACGAATGATGTTCACGTTTTCGATTGTTTTCAATTAAAACATTCTTCTGTGTGAGACCATCTTCATTATATTGCTTGCACATTCAATGAATTTCAAATCTACTAATGGATACGGAAATTCATCAATAATTACCTTGTACATTCATAGACAGCACAGTTTTCTTCACTTATATTTTCCCACAACATTTTGAATGGATTTTTCGTTAAACAAAATAAAATAAAGGGCGAAAGGACTTTTTATTTAGCTAGACTGAAGTCAAACTGAATGATCAGTTGCAGTGTCCGTACATGAGTTTCAAGTTCGTCAAACAAAATCTATTATACACTTTGAATTAGATTCAACTAATTCAATTCACAAATTTATAAACACACGATATTCGAACATGAAGAAGAAAAAAAATATAGAATCAAAAGTCTAATTTTCTCTCGTTTAAACACACTTCCATATTATACAATTACAGGAATTTCATTATCCACTGTTCGGACAAATCCTTGCACTTTTAAATTTTTTTTTTCATTTAATTATTTGCTAGAACATTGCGATTTTAATTTTTCTATATTTATATTTCATCTATTATGTATAAAATTTCTATTTAAAAAAATGTTCATTTTGTTCGGGGTGTTGATCAAATTGCAGATGTTCTATTTTATGAATTGTAATGTTTGATATGCGTGTGAGCAAAATACTATCTAAACATCGATGACGACGAACCAAACTCAACTGATTTAAGTCACATAGCGTTGCTTACTTTTATCGATTCATTGCGACTTATGAGTGTCCCCACCACCATACCATTTCACCGTTTACGCATTGAGCCTACAAGGAGCGCGCACAAGACAACACAATACTACGGATTACTTGTGTCGGGGTTGTATGTTTTCGTTTCAAAGGTTCAAGCAACTCACCGTGTGTGTATGTGAACGACTTACATTGCGCATTGTACAGTGTGGCAGCATAGCCGTACCAGTATACAGTGTAAAACGGACACGAGAAAAATCGAATACCAAATGTAGTTTTGCCGCTCGTTCGTTTACCAATACTCATATGTATATCGTTACCAAAAGAGTCGACATACGCACACATGCACCATGTCACACACATGAACACAAATAGACGAACATATCTAATGAACTTAGTTCAGTGTATAATGACACCACTATGCAAGGGATCGACCAATACATACACCGAATGACACATTTTAGGCATCGATCGTACTTTTGAGCGAAAAAAGTTTTTTGTTTTTATTTAAGTTCAACGAATGCTATTAATGGAAATTCGTTCATTGAAGTTAAATTTAATAGAAGAAAATGAAATAAATGATGGACTCAATTTCATATTCTATTTCATTTTTTTTTCTCGGCTGAATTACATTATACATTTTTGTTGTAAAGTGATAAAAATTCGCGGGAATACATTCATATATATAGAAAACGGCGCGACAGTGATTCCTTCGTATGAGCACATCGATGTCTATGTTTTTGACATTTCGGTATGAAGTAAACATGTATTGAATGAACGGATGCTATCCTAATGATGTGTGTTAAACGCGTGCAAAAGAAATTGTCCACTAAGAAAGAACGAAATAGAAAGATTGCATGCGGTGTACTACAATTTGAACGCATCAACGCTTCAAAATCTTCTTCTAACAAAAATGCTGAAATACCCAAAAAAGCGAACACATGAAAAAGAGTAGAGCAAAATGATTTTCTGTTCTAATGGACCGTTTTAAGTAGTCTTGTGTGCACGATCTTCGAAGGGCCGATTGTATGTGTATTTGTGTGTCCGCACGGAAAGTAGATTGTGAAATACTGATTTGCTATCTCATTTGTTATACGAAGTGAAGCTGTAAAAGAGAAAAGAGGAAGGCACGTTCTGCATACGATGCCGCAATGGAAGACGGGAGAAAATTAAGTTCAAGCAAGCGTGACCTTGCGAATCAGCTGATCTGTTGAGAATGATCGAATGTACCATAGCAAAAAAAAATTATCGAATGCTGTGGTAGTTTTCAACTGTTCGTCAAACTTTTCGTTTCGTGCAGGCAGTAAATGCATGTTCGGATATTTGATTTCGAAAAATGTATCTCATCGAAAAATATTTAACTTTTTTTCATATTTTCGTTTTTATACTCATTTTTTTACAATTTTTGTAGTTTTTTTTTTTTTTTGGAAAACAACCTGTTTTCATTTTACTGGTTCTAA